TACTTATTTCTCCCAGAACTGGTGCTGATTATGAAGACAGTAGCACATAATCTTCTCTGCCTCTTATCATTAGGATAAATTGAGGCATGGAATAGTTCAGCCAAATGTGTAGCTGGAAAAGTCATTTTTACCATTTTTCTCTTCACTCATTCTAGTGTATATCTTATAAGCTACCTTTCTCCAGAAGCATTTTTTTTTTTTTTGGTACCAGGGATCAAACTTGGGTCCTTGAGCTTGCGCAGCAGGCGGCAAAACCACTGAGCTAAATTCCCAGCCCCAGAAGCATTTTTTAATGAACCTCTATTCTCCCTTTATTTCATTCCTCCCTTCTTGCAGATGCATGTGCCTAGTTCAGAGAAGGAGTAGTGCTTAAAAGCTTTCACACTGCACATGGATACAGTATCCTGCACTGGGTCCCCAAAGTGTGATGAATAGCTGGACAGAAACTTTGGAGGCCCTACTTCTGCCAAAAACTTAGCCTAATGTAGGCCACAATCAGGCTTGAAAGGATATATTTCATTTCACTATGGAAAAGTTATTTTCAATTGTAGAATGCTCCTTTTACTGATAGGTAGAGGAATACATAAAGTCAGAAAAAGTTCCTGGTTTCTAAAAGCCCATGACACATTTTATGCATCATTGACTGGCTAAAACATTACCTCTATACTGGATGCCCCCTCATAAATATATACATAGACAGATACATATGTACATATATTCTCTCTCATAATTTCTGTCCATCTCACCTATTATCCATCTATCTATCATCTCTTCCTCTTCCTGCCTGTAGGTGGTAGTCTTCTTCAAGGCAGCTGATCATCTGACATGCAGCCTAACAGCTTCCAAGCTGTTTCTAGTGCCTAGTTAGATTGAAGACTAGAGCTCGCACTAGGTCAAGGAGCAGCCCATGTCAGACTCTTGGCTAGAGCAGCAGTAGCCTCTTTCTGCACTGAGAGAGCCCTGTCCCATCCAGTCCCCTGCCTGCCCTATGCGGTCCTCACTCCTTCAACTGAATCTACATTACATGCGGAAGAAATGCCCATGTATCCAGGGTGACAGTCAAACAGCAGGTCAAGGGAGGCCACATCCTCAACAATAAGGGGAAAAAAATCTTGGCAACTGTTGATGTGTCTTAGGAAAGAGGAGGAAGACCTGGGGAAAGAAACTGAAAGCTTAGCAATTTCCAGTGGTTGAAGTAGACTGGATATTGCCTGAGACAAGAAGAGAAAAATAAAATATTACTTAGCATTCTCAGCACACACTGTTTGCATGCATGTCTTCCTGGATCTTGGGCTTCTATTACCATGGCCCCTTCTGCAACACAGATTCTGCTCCAAAGTATTTTGGTGCTTTTGGGCTCAGCTCTTCATTAATTTACCCCTGCCTTTCCCATGTGTTCCTCTGTGGCCTCTCCAGTAACGTGAGCCAGGCTCCTCACATTGTCATTCCGTGTACTACTTTCCTTTTTTTTTTTTTGGTACTAGGGATTGAACTCAGGACCTTGTGCTTTTGAGGCAGGCAGCAGATCCAATGAGCTAAATCCCCAGCCCTCCATGTACTACTATCACCCAGCCTTCCCTGGACCAGCATGGTCCATTGAGCATCCACCATACTCCTTGGCATATTGCCTGTGCCTCATTTCTCTTCCCTTTTGACATTCTCTTCTCTTTGTCTGAGCCAATATGTATTTCTTCAGAAAAACTGTAGATTCCTTTGAGGGTAAGAATCTCTTCATTCCAATTCCCATTATCTAATATCGCACTTCATATACAGTAGACCTCCATAAATATTTGTTGAATAAATCCAGTAAGAATTCCCATTTTTCTCAGGCAGATCATTCCTGACTAGTGGGAAGGAAATAAGTAAATTCTGTTTTATTCTTTACCTGGTGCAGTGTGCAGCTCCCTGACTTCTCTTGTTGTTTCACAATATGCTCCTCCTCTTCTCTTTGAATTGAGAATCAGTATTGTGAAGGTAGCTGCCTTGTGAGGTGGCCGTTGGGTGAGAGGTGGGGAGCAGGCTTGGCTTTCCTGTGTTCACCATTATCTCCTCTCCAGAAAAGACCAATAATCCACAATCTTGAATTAAAGCCTCAGATAGGCTTTACATTTTCACCTTAAGGCAAGGCACTTCTTCTTCCAAAGAAATGTGGAAGTTACTCTTTATTACAGGATTTATATTTGATCTAGGTAATTAGTAAGTTTAACATATTTAATAAGTGCTTCTGTGGCACTTGCTAAATGCCAGACACTGTTCTGAGCATTTTAATTATATTAACTAGTTCTTCTTCGTAACAACCTTGCCAAGTAGATATGACTATAACCATCAGCCTCATTTTATAGATGAGGATAGAAGGATGCAGAATGATTAGGACCTTTCCCAAGGTCACACAGAGCTTGGTGACTAAGCTGGAATTTGAAATAGGCAGACTCATTCCAGTACCCTTGCCCTAACCACTGTGTGCCAGTACATCTAAATATGATCAAGGTACAGTCTACATTGCGTATCTGTGCTCCTCAAATATAAACTGACTTTGTTTTCAAGAATGCCAAGAGCAGGAAGTCTCTTCGACCTCTATTAAGCAACATATGGCTGTGTTCTTCCTAAATGTTTCCAAGCACATTGATTCATTAACTATGTCTTGAATGCAGGTTTCTTTGTGTCATTTTTGCAGTTAATTGTTCACATTGTAATCAATGCCAGTCCTAAGATTGGTCTCCACAAAATATACTTTCAAATAACCTAGGAACCATGCCAGAAATTCACTCTAATTACACAGCATACCAATTTTGAGTACTAGAGATGACTTGAAGGCAAAATGTGTGTTATTTAAAATTATTCAATTTATAGTAAATAAATGTGATTCTGCCCAAAAAAGAAAAGATGAAGTTGCATGTTAGTCTTCTCTTTTCATTGCCTTTTCTAGATGTTTAGGATAATGTGGATCATTTTTTTCTTATGAGTTCTAGATTTTTACACAATTTATATGGATTTTTTTAAGCTGCCCATAAACCATCACTTAACCACTTACTGTTTAGAAAAAAAGAAAAAAGACTCCTATTCAAGCCCTACTTTGTGTATTCACATACAGTGTATAGAACAAACACAAAAAACATCTGGGTTGGGAGCTGCTTTTCCGGTGCAGGGGTTATTCAGAGTACAGTGCTTGAAATTGACGGTGTTCTTAAATTGAATCCCAGGAATAAAATATACATGAATAGTCAGCCTAAAAATTGAACACGTTCGTCCTAGGGTTCCCTTAGGTAGTTCCAATGACCTATCCTTCCAGCTCCCATGAGGAGTTCATTGGCTAGCTGGTGGGTTTAAGTTGGTGTTTCTCAACTCTATCAAACCCAATACCCTATTTTTAAATCATTTTTTATTATCCTTAAATGAAATTCATAAATGATAAAGTATTTACATAAACTTTCACCAGGTATTTATAATGATATAATAGCTATTTTAATGTTACAGTAGAAGAAATAATAAAGTTGGCAGGCATTTGAACCTACTACAGAATCACCATAATGTAATATGCAGTGTAATACAAAATACACTACATGTATAGAATGGTATGGCTGTGCTAAGTCTGCGAACCAAACAGGTCATACAGTGTATAATCTTTCCTCAATTTGCATAGGTATTGTGCACCTGAAACTTCAACTTACATTAATACCATACAAGCTACTTTGTGTTCATATGTAAATGGAGTTAGCATCTATGCTCAATTATAAGCAGGTTTTCAACACTTAAGTAAATGACCCTGATGATATACAAAAGCTTGCAGGATGTGGGAAGCTTTCTGTTGTGCTCAGAACCGTCCTGAGCACTGCATTATTCTAGCTATTGTAGCCACACCTTCTAAATGCCAGTAATGTCCACTGATCATCATGTCATACAGGTCAATGTGTCATTCAAGATCAACCCAGACATTTCCCTAAATTCCCTTTATTGAGTGAGAGCCTAGGTCAATGCCTAATGTTAAAATCAGCCCCCCCAAAATACTTGTGACTTTTTTGTAGCCCTTAGAAAACAACAAAATACCTATAATAAAATCCTCAATAGTTGGGTTTGTTATGAGACCTACATTCCATGAGGGCAAGGTCTAAGTCCACGCAGTGTGCATAATAGTTCAGCACCTCCATACAGTTCCTGGACTGTACTGCATCTTGTTTGAATAGAACAAACTGGGCTTAGGATAGCTGAGCTAGTGAGAATATATGCACTGTTTAAAAGAACTAGTTTTTTTGTTGGTTTGTTTTGGTTTGTTTTTTACTTTGGATTGCATATAATAGGTAGATGTTCACAAGGAAAGCTTACAGTGAATAATTATTTGAATATACCACTTTTGTTGTTTCTGTTTGAACGTATGACATTAAAATGTTTGAAGACATGTGGAACCTATCAAAGACCTAGAATCCTCAAGTCATTTTGAGTGAGAAAAAGGAGTATGTTGAAGACACTGAGCTGCAGCCCTTGACCTAAGAGGTTTGCTTCATAAGCTCACGTGAGGCAGCTATATTAGCCCTGATTTTACAAATGAGGAAACTAGGGTCATCGAGGGCAAGTAATCTGTCCAGAGTCAGAGAGTTGGCTCAATGACAGCAAAGGGTTTGAATACGCAGTTTGAATCCAGAATTGTGTGGTTCCAAAAGGCTTATCTTTCCCAAGAAATCACGTTCTTTCTTAAGTGGGGCAAAACTAGGTTTCTGAAAATGTACATCTGAAGGAAGGACCGTTAATTATGACCACTGAGATCCACCTTAATGTAATTTTACTGTACAAGTAATACATTCCCATTCTCATGTCTGTAAAATTCTACTGTGCTAGTGGTTCAGCAGTTGTTATGTTGACCTTGTTGTTGTCAGATTCCAGGATTCCAGATCATGTGTGAAGTCCTATTAGTGAACTTTTTAAGAGTCTTTGGGTCTTTACAACCTAGCAGGGTGCCCGAAAGAGTGTTCATTGAGTGGAATTTAATTGACTATTTCTCCTTTTAGGCCTTGGCCTTACACAATATTTCAGCGAGGCTTTGACCTGGTTCTGGGAGAGCAACCCTCTGATAAAATATTCAGGTAAGTGGTTGTCCAGGGACTTGCTTATGTATGTCTTCCAGACCATGTCCCACTTCCCTCTGAACTTTCTTTTCGGGTGGTAAAATATGGAATGATAAACACTTTCAGTTCTTCTGCTTACTCAGTAATCAAAACACTTGATGTCAGTTCATGCCCAGGGACAACAAGGAGGACTTTGAAGTCAGACTGATTTTGTTTGGGTCCTCTTTTCCTTCCTTGCCAGCTCTGTGACCTCAGTACTTTTCTGAACCTCTTGGACCCTCCAATTTCTGTATGTGTTAAATGAGGCTGTATTACATGCCCGGCTGGGTATTGTGAGAGATATATGAGATAATGCAGGGAAGGTCCCTGGCACAGAAACTGGCATAGAACAGGCAATTAATGTCAGCTTCTGCCTCTCCATTTTGCATCTAATTTGCACCTTTCTCATGGAGTCTTAAGTTGTTCAAAATTAATCTCTCCCACCCCTGCCTCCCCCTTTTCTAAACTCTACCTCATTATTATTTTCTTTTATCTATTACCCTCTTGATAGAATTTGATGCTTCTAGTCCCTTCCAAGATTTTACCTGCTTATCTGGGAATAGCTCATATTAGAAAAGCCCAAAAGCAATGGGAAAATTTGGGTGCCAGCCATGAACTATTGGATTTTCATAAAATTTAATTCGTAACAGGTATTATCTGGAACATATATGATTTACTTCCAATGTAAGATTATATTGTCTATTCATTTTGTCAGTCCATCCTTCACTTGTCCTGCAGTCGCTGAGCATCTGCTAAGTGCCCGAGATTGAACTTGGTATGGCATTATAGACAGGAATACATTGCCTCCCAAGAGCAGGCCTTCTAGTAGAGGAAGTGCATAGTCCTGCCCAAGTGGCTGATGTCAAAGGATAAATTCACTACTGCATGCCATTGCTACAGAAATGGTGGGCAGCACAGTGCAATGGAAGATTTGCTTCCTCTTACTACGCCAGTACATTTTGCTAAGCCTCACTACCACTGTTTCAAACTCCTTTCCATGACCCTCCCTGTCAGCCATTTCTGGCTTGGGTATTTGCTCCTGAATTTGCCTCCTTGAGCTCACTTTCCTGTAAAACTTCTGGCAGCATGGAATAGACGGGCTAGACCATGCTGTTCTCCCAAGGTGTGCTCTGAGCTACAGTGCACATTTACAGAACCACTTCCTCACAGGACATCTCCTTGCCTTTCCTCTCTCCTGAGTATCTCTCCTAGGCCAGGTTGAGTCACTTAATGACATTGGTCTCAGGTTGCTTTTGCGGATTTGTGCAGTAAGAGATGCAGCTAAATTCCTTGGACTGTCACTTGGTCATTTAAACTTTCTAACAGTGATTTATCATTTAGCCAACTTCTTTTTCTCTCTTTCTCCTACTGCTGGTCTTCCAGGAATTTGAAGGGTAGTAAAGATATGGCAATGGGGAGCCAGAGGGAGGTTTGTGGATTTACATGGATAAGCTCCCTGTTCCCTAAAAGTCACAAGAGAATACTAAAAATCAAGACTTTTAATGACATTACTATTAAAGCAAAACTTGCACAAAACTGTGTTTCTATCCCCACCAACACCATTTTATTTTTAAATTTGTTGGCTGCCATTTGGATATGATACCCAAGTGCTTCAGAGGAGATTGGTTATGTGGCTTAATCCACAAAAGTCAACTGTCTCAGGAGCCACTGGGTTAATCAATAAGTGATTATAAATTTTGTCTCTAACATACATAGTTTTTTTCAAATGAAAGCAGTGAGTATCAGGTGCTTACTATGGGCATTAGGAGCTTTATCAAATCTACTGTAGGATCTGAGTCAACCACCTACCAGTACCAATGGATGACTTGGTCAGTGACTATAACTCGTTACTTACTCGGCTATTCTACTCACTCATGATTTAATATCCTGATGAATTCCAAGCCACTGCACAACTCTGTGGCGTAGAGAATAAAGCTTAAATTCTGATATTCAAATCTTCCCACCACTGAATACCAACATACAGCTCCTTCTAAATAAGCTGCTGTTCTCTGGAGCCTTCCATTCTTAGTCAATTCTGTCTTCTAACTGATCCGCTGCCCCAGTAACTTGAATATTCCCCACTCTGAACCTTTGCTCATACCCTTTCTTTGTAGCAAGAATCCTTTCCTCTTCATATAAGCATTACCCACACTCATGGCCCATAGCAAGTCTCTAAAACTATCATCTTTAAGCACACCCTATTGTGAAGCACTGTTTTAAATGTTGTAGATATGATCAAACAGCTATGACCCCCTGTCTTTGAGAGTTTATAGTTTCATTCAGGAAGTAGTCCTCGTCCCTGGCCCTCCATGAAAGTCCCCAGCACACATTCAAGGGACCAATGATCTTACTCAGCACATGGCAATTAATGCAAAACCTCATGGAGGTGTGGCCAAGAGACAAAAGCTTTTTTTTTTTTTTTTGGTATGGGGGGATCGAACTTGGGTCCTTGTGTTGCGCACCAGGCGGTGAAACCACTGAGCTAATTTTTTAAAAGCATCATTGTGTTGTTGTTGTTGTTGTTGTTGTTGTTGTTTTGTGGTAACGGTTATTGAACTCCGGACCTTGTGCTTGCAAGGCAGACACGGTGCCATTGAGCTAAATCCCTGGCCCTCCCTGGCGTTTTTAATTGTAGCCAGGATTGAGAAATGGTTCTCAAACTTCTCTAAAATTCACTGCAACACTCCATATTAAATTCCTCACTCCAAATTTCTGTGATAAACTGATTATAATATCTATTTCTCAATTATTTTATTTCAGATGGGTTGTTTTTTTTTTGGTACCGGGGATCAAACTTGGGACCATGCGCTTGCGAGGCAGGCGGCAGAACCACTCAGATAGGTTTTTAATCTGCCCATTTGTTTCTCAAATAGAAGAAGTGATAACCTATAAAGCCTTAAATAGTTGATATATGTAACATAATTTTGAACACAGTAGGCCTTCAGTGGGTATCTGTAGATGCTTGTTTTAGGTATTTATTTCCTAAGGACTTGAAATCATACTAGGAAAAAGACCTTGAGGCCCAACCCAACCTTGGTAATCTGTAACCCCAAATAATTTGGGTGACTTGTAATCCTCAGATAGACTGAGAGGATCCAAAATGACCTTGACCCTCTCGACTGAGCCTTTCAGCCAAACCCCTTCTGGTGTTAAAGATGCCCTTTCCATTGTGTTGAGAATCACTGCATTCCACTGGACTCTGGTGACAGGGATGACTGCAGGCCAAATTTGTCTCAGGGATCTTCTTCTTGAGTGTCTACCTGCATCCCTGGGAATAATACCTCATCCTGGAAGAGCTTGCTCTGGGAAAGAATGGACATGCCAGCTCAAGAGCCATTTGTCTGTTCTCCCACACTCTATTTCATGCCAAGCCACTGAGTGAGCACAGGCTTATTTTGTCCCGCACTCTCTGGTGAGGGTTTGCCTCTGAACAGAATTTTCAAGCTTTGGTTCCATGGGACCATGCAGCATGCAGCTGCTCCATCCACTGCAGTGGTCACCACCAGCTGTCACAAAGAAGACCCAACTTGGAAAGCATCCCAGGTGCTTGCCCAACTTCTCTTGGGAGGTTTTATGAAGTCCTTCCTGCCAAATTTGCATGAATGAGGGACAGATGAGATTTTAGGGCATATCTCTTCTCTGACAGTTTATTCTATATTTGGTTTTTGGAGTTAGTAGATTTTGCAGATGAAAGATAGCTTTAGAATTTTATAGGCATGAGCTAGCATAGGCTGGGAAGCTGCTGTGATCCACACCTGAGAATCAGATGAAACCTGTCTTTTCTACTTACACAGGGGTGACCTTGGGCAGGTTACTAACCTTTTAAAAATATATGTGATGAGTTAATAAAACGGGGCCAAACTACCAAGTTCAGAGGGTTCCATGAGGACAAATAAGGTAGCTCTACAGAGCACCTGCCCTTTCCAGAGGTCCCAGTGAAGGTTAGTTTCACTCCATATCTAACTTGGCTTCCCCTGTGGGGTTCACATTGCCGCTGCCACGGACTGGAGGAAATCACATTGTTTTCTTGTTAACATCCAATGCAGTGTCACAGAAACTGTTGTGCACTTAGGAAGTTCCATGTAATATGAAGCTGAGGTCCATCTTGACCATTAGATTCATTCAAACCCAGATGTTAGCCTTATCTTGCCTCCCATGGATGATTAGCTTCACTATTGCTTCCACCTCTAAATTTGAGCCCTCAGATTATGCATGCTAAATCCTGCTCCAATGAAAGAAACACGCAACATCTTTTCATTAATTAGTCAGTTACTATTTACTGAGTGACATCCTTGTGGTAGAAATTATTAGGTACTGGGACACAAAGATGACATAGGGCTGTTCTTTGTCACCCAAAAGACCACAATCTTATTAAGTGACAATAGACACAGGAAAAGACAGGTCAACACCTAAAGGACTGTGAGGCTTGTGTGCAAGGCGGACAGTGGAGAGTCCCTTGATCAGTTCAAGGGCAGTGGGTCTAGGTTCTTGAGGGCTTTCTGGAAGGCTTTGAACCTTAACTGAGCCTTAAATGAGTCAAATTCAGTTCAATAATGGCCATAAAATCCAGAAAGAAGTCATATTAGGAGCAAAAGCAAAGAGGTGAATAAAACAGGGTAACTTTAAGAGCTAAGATCAGATGGCACTGTAGGAGCACGAAGTGTGAAGCAGGTTTGGAAAGAGGAGAAGCTGCAGAGGTGGGTGGGGTGACACCTTTGGAGGCTTGACCTTCATTCTGTGCTCAGCAGTAGAACGTGGAGAGAGTCAGTGTCATGGTTCACTTTTCCCTGAGGAATATTACTGTATGCAGAGGATACAGGGAAAGCTATGAGATAGATAAGTATGTTTTGCCAAGAGAAAACTTAGCCATCAGAATGGTCCAGAACTGCCAACGATTTCCTAAATTGTGTTACATAACCAAAGTAAAATTATAATTTTAAACCAAAGTAGAAAACAAAAACTCATGTTTGTGTCCAATGGACTGCCTCCTCCCTGGTACCATTCAAACTTGTAGATGTTCTTCCTGAAACAATGCTGTATTAATAGGAGCCTGCCTGGTATAATGTTGCTGTCTCGAGAATGCCCATTACAAAATGCAAAGTGAAATGATACAAATTCTTGGAGGTCATGTTCTTCAACTCACATTCATTCATAAGTCCCAGATTCCAAGCACTTTGGGGACAATAAGTAGCTCTGAATGAGCACCTTAATATTGTCAGATGAAGTGTGTGCGCATGTGTGTTGTGTGTAAATGCACTATTATATCTTCAATTTCACTAACTGATTCAAGGAAGAACGAGGCCATAGTCTTTTGTCCCCAAATAATGGACTTTGTTCACCTAGGGCAACCCCCCCACCCCAGCCCATGCACAGACTTAGCCCCACCTACTGCCATGTGCCCCTCTGGGTGTGAAGATTTGAGAGCCTCCTTCAGAGCAAGAAGCATTCTGAGAGTTCTCTACAGGCCAGAGAAATAAGAGACCAAGAGTCAGGGTAGAAATGGGAGAGAAATCCTCCAAATCCTGGCCAGGTCCCACTTAGCAGATGTTCTCCCTCTCCCCTGGGAGTCTCCTGCGGTTAAGCTGGCACCTGCCTTCTCATGTTTCAACAGCTCAGGCACCAAGGCTCTTCTTCAGGATGGGGCAGTGGGGTCAGTGGGTTACTCTGGCTGTCATTCTGGAGAGGACCAAGCTCCTGATAAAAGATCTGAAGACACTAATCTGGTTTTCTGTCATCTCCATCACCCAGGAGGAGGGATTGGGGGAGAAAGGAACAAGGTTCTTAAATGGTACTCTGTGACCAGCATGCTAATGGAGCCAGGGCTGGGTTCTGCTTAATTGAATGCATCCTTCCATTGTTCTCTCCCTCACATGAAGTTGGGAGGGGACACCAGACTGCCACAGCCTCGTGATATCCCACCCACACTGGCTTTTATCCCACTGACTATTTTTGACTGTGAACACAGAGCATTTGAATGCCTTTGAAATGAAATGAATGAATAAATAAACAAATAATCTCTCATGGTTTCCTTAAGCTCTCCCTTGAAATGCTGATTGATTCTTTTATTCCTTTTAGCCCTGGTTATAAGAATAAAAAATCTTCTCTATATCCCAAGGGTTAGCACTGTTAGCGATGGGTGTGGGTAGGAGTGCAGAGAATAAATCAGGGACTGTTCTGTTCATCTGTTCATCCCCTCTTCTCCTCCCTGGAGGTGCCTGGCTTCAGTCATTTCTGTTCCTGTCACACAGAAGGCAGAAAAGGGGAGCTTTCTTCTTGCCTTTTACTTGTTAGGATTCCTCCAGGCACAGAGAAAAACCATGGCTGCCTCTGTGGGTGTGGCACCAAGACCTATGATGAGGATGGTGGGCAGCCGGTTTCTCTATTCAATTAAACCACTTCCAGTTACATCTGACTTAGGACAAGGGCAGCCCACCTTCAAACCTGAAGAAAACCAAGGCTCACTCTTTATGACTTGATAAAAACCACTTCTAGGGTCGGGGATTTAGCTCAGCAGTTTTGCCGCTGCAAGCGCAAGGACCTGAGTTCAATCCCCGGTACCAAAAACAAAACAAAACAAAAAACCACTTCTGCTATCGGTTGAGCAGGCACTAGAATCAGTTCTCCAGTTGTCTAGCAGTGTGAGAAAGAGCAGGCCTCTCTGTGTGCTTCTGACTCAGCCATCTCATGCATAAAATGGAGTCAGGTGTCTTATCTGAAGAAGACTTGCATGGGGCAAGCAGGAAGCAGCTCGTGACAGGACACCTGATCCTCAAGGTGGGGGGTGGCGCTGTCCCCAGCCTTCATCTCTTGGTGTTCTGTGTCCTTGCAGATTTACCTACACCCTTGGGGAGGGCATGTGGTTGCCCCTCAGCAAGAGCTTCGTGATTCCACCAGCTGAACTGGCCATCAACCCGTCCGCAAAGTGTAAGACAGACATGACTGTGATGGAGGATGCTGTGGAGGTCCGGTGAGTCTGGCTTCTGGTGCTGAGACCTTGCTGGCCTGAAGACCCTAGGTGGTAGGACAGAAGTCACAGCAAGCTGGAAGCAAACATGGGCAAGCTGCCTTAGTAAATTCGCCAAACCCATCACCATACTCTGCTCTTCATCTGGGTCAATATTGCACACTCCACGGCTCTTTAGCTGGAAAAAGACATAAAATTAGAATTTGTAAGCACTTCTCATATACCCCAAGGACTGACAGCCAATAAAATGTTAATTTCCTGGCCCAAGTTTAGACCTCCTTCTTTGACCAGGCGTTACAGCCTTGGCTCATTTCCCAGATGTAAAAAATGCCCATTAATTTGTTCCTTTGAGGCTCAGAGTATGGTTGATCTTCAATTTTTATAAGAGAGTGAGTCTTGATCCAGTTGACCAGAAAGGAACATAGAATGTAACCCATTTGTTGCTTTGGGACTCCTGTGACTCTTCCCAACCTCCCTCTGTGTCTCCCTGCAGAGAGGAGCTGATGACGTCCTCCTCCTTTGACAGCCTGGAGGTTCTCTTGGATTCCTTTGGGCCAGTCCGGGACTGCAGCAAAGATAATGGGGGCTGCAGTAAGAATTTTCGCTGCATTTCAGATCGCAAGCTGGACTCCACTGGCTGTGTGGTACGTCTGTCCTGCCAAGCTAGGAGTTTCCATTTGGGGTGAGGAGGGAAAGCACAGTGTGAGAAGTAACACAGATATAGAGATGAAAATGTGCTGTGGTCCCCAGTTATAATCATCACATAGTCTAAATTAGGAACTTTCCCTTGATGTGCACAAACAGCTAATCACTGAATACTCAAGACTCCTTATGGAGCACCTACTATGTGTTCTAGAGCTATCCAAAGGAATCACAGAGAATGATTCCTTTCCATTCTTTTAAGGAAGTGGGTGAGACCTATTTGAGAACTGATAAATTCTTTAATAGTATAATATTAACTCTAAGTATAATAGGAAATCTTAGGAAAGAATCTTACCTGAAGTTAGAGTAACAAAAGAAGCAAGCTATGCCAAGGATAGTAGAGAAAAATGTAAATAAATATGTGATCATTTCAGACCACAGCAATGAACTCTTCTCCCAAGACAGGTTTTTACTTCGTTTCCAGCTCTATGGACTTTGGCCACCTCTGAAATGTATTGTAATATTATGGATTAGTGAGACTATTTGGGCTTGAGTGGACTAAGCCATCTCCCACACCATGGATATGAAGCTGCAGCAGCAGAGGAAGCCATCAGATGTTGCTTTCTTTTTGTTGGCCCATACTCATGTCTATGAGCCGGGTCATCCGCTTCTCGTCTTACCTTCTTGAGAGGGGAAATAATGAAACCCTCAACAGAGGAAAGGGGATGAACAGAGAAGAATGGCAGAGAAGCCACGGAGTGAGAACAGAGGACAGAGAAATCTTTCACCGAGTCAGGGGGCTCTGCAGTGTTAGGGGAAACGGCCAGGAGCTTCCAGCTCCAGGGAGGATGTGGAGCCCATGCCATGCTGTGCAAGGGACCGAGAACAGGGGAAGCTGTGAGGTGGCTGAGCTGATGCCACCCTTCACCTCCTCAGCCCATCTCTTAGCTCCTGTGCTGTTCAGGGAGCTGCTCTGTATCAAAGAGGGATGTGTACCTGGGGGCCAGGGTGGGACCTCCCAGCCCAGCTGATTAGACAGCAGCTGACAGGAGCCCCAGTCACTGGAGAAGGCAGAGCCCAGAAAGAAAAGAGGGAAAGGAAGAACTGAGGAGCAAATGGGAGGAGAAGCTGAAAGGTGCACTGCTGTGGCCAAAGAGGTGCAGCTAGGACTATCAGAAAAACAGGAAGAAAATTATTTGTGAGGTCATGTCTTTCAAACATGGTACCTCCTCCTGTGTCAGGCCCAGCCTCACAAATTGTATGCAATGAGCTCCCCACGGGGTCCCATGGGGTCAGTTTCACTCTTTAACAGAGCTCCCAGCTGAGACACATTTTTTTCCCTTTTTCTACTAAGCCTGGATTTCTTCATCCAGATTTTAGCCTTTCATTCCTCATTACTACTCTCAGGTGGTTCTAAGAACTGAAATACTGAATGCACACATGCATTTTCCCACCCCATGCCACCACCACATGCATCAGAGCATGCATACACATTCACAGGCAATGGAATAGACTCCCCCTCTCCTCTCCTCTCTGTCCCTTCCCAAGCCCCTCGGGGTTTGTCTGTCATGCACTTTCTTGATGATGCCAACCCCTTTTGCTTGGCACAGAGCTGTGCTGAAGGATTCCTGTACTTTTAACATTGTGATCTTTGAGATGGAGCTAGCAGGAATAGTTCTGATGAATATGCATTTGCAATGAGGCTGCTGTATTTTAGAATCAGAGCCACTGCAGAAAACCACCCAATTATACCAGGACTTAGTATTAGCATAATACTTTGAAGTCACTTGCTCATGTGACTCCCAGAGGAAGGGAGGGGCAGGCTGACTGGCAAACACATTCAGTTTACTATTTCTTATTGGCTAAGAAGCATATGATCCCTGGGGAAGGGGACGGATGTGTTGACAGCAGATGCATCACTTCATGATTCTTGTGACTCTACGGAGGAGAGTAGGGACTTGACTTTGAACCTGACCTGAGTCCAATGGGCATCAGTACTGTGTTAACAGAGTGGTTCCTTATCATTTGGAGGTGGACCAGGGCTAAAAGCATCAGTGGTACCAGCTCCAATTTGAGGAAAATTGCCTGCCTTCTCCCTCTGTGTGTAAACGGTACATTCAGTCCTCTGGGTGCTGAGCTGAAAAGCTTCTCAAAATGGCATATTTGTAAGAAAGGAGAAAGAGATGAGAATCCCAGAACATGCTGACCCTTCAGGAACCTGGGAAAGGAGCAGAGGTGTGGGAAGAGGCAGAGCATGTGCCTGTATATTTGCCTGATTTAATTCAAACCAGACAGGTGGAATTCATACTGTGTCCACATGGGCTGGTCAACCTTCATTCTAGGAAGGCAGGGCATGCTTCTCAGTTATGCATGGACTCCCACAGGGTTAATTGCTATCCAGTTAATTGCCATGTTGTTTATATAGTCTCTGAGGACAGGCAACAAATAGCCATGAAAGGCACAGACTTGTACAAACCAGTCATGCCTTTTTACAAACTGAACTGCTCTCCAACTGCTGGAGATTGCTGAAGCTTCAGGAGGGCTCCCAGGACACTGGCCAGCCAGCCACCACTGATGACCAAATGGTGCTCCCTGTCCTATGTGCAGGGGGTAGCAGTGGGAGACCTATGAAGCCCAGAGCAGCAGCTCAGTGGTCCTTCAGTGGTGCTATATTACCGTGGTGCTGCTTGAATAAGGTGCGTAGATTTTAGTGACTTAAAGCTATATAAATCTATTATCTTACAACTGTACAGATGAAAATCCAGCTTGGGTTTCACTGGACTAAATTAAGGTGTTACCAAATGTGTATTTCTTTCTGGAGGCTCTAGAAGAGAATCCATTCCCTTGTCTTTTCCAACTCCTAGAGTCTATGCACATTTCTTGTGACCTCCTTCCTCTACCTTTAAAGCCAGCCACATTGCATTTTTCTGATGTTCTGCTGTAGCTCAGCGTCCCCTCTCTCTCCCATTCTGCCCCTGTCTGCCACTTTTAAGGACTCTTGTGATTACATTAAGTCCACCTAGACACTCCAGCATAATCCTCTCATGTCAAAATCCTTAACTTAATCACATCTGCAAAGTCCCTTTTGCCACAGAAGGTGATATATTCACAGGTGCCTGCCCTTGTGTCATGGGCAGATTTGGGGGATCTTTTGTGGGAGGCAGAGAGCCACAGGAGCAGACATGGAGGCAGGACTCCAGCCTTCCTGCCCCCAGCTTTAACTGGGATATCTTCACTTGCTATCAAGTCTTCTATTTAGGCTCAGTATAAAATTGGAAACAAAAACAAAGAAAATAGTTTCCGCTCCTTCCTCATCTTCACACTTATCCTAAAAGTATCCATAAAAACTCCTTTGCTTTGTAAGACATTGGAAGGTACTTAGGTGACCAGACTTCGCTACCCGGGAAGGAGAGGTCAGCTGCCCTGCTTTCTTGTCTGTGGAAAACGTGACCTTCCTTATCGGAGCATTTTGCTCTGATGAGCTTTGAATCACCCAGTGACCCTGCTGTCCTTCCCTGGACATGCTGTCTACCGTGGTTTTCCATGAAATGTGTCATTTCACCTCTACTGGAGCACAGATGTGCAGAGAACAGTACAGATGACGACCTCTCTTTCTCTCTGCAGGACAGTAAGCAAAAGAGTATACCTCAGAGGGTTCCAGAGAAATGAGGGCAGGAAGCTATCACAAACTGAAATATAAATTTAACTCCATCAAACTTTATTTTTTTTCCCCTTGGGAGAAGTCCTGCCTGGCTTGGGCCAGCATGTCAGAGCCCATCAAAAAGTTGTGGAAATCATTGTTTGTGAAAGAAGTAGGATTGCCATCTAGTAGAAAAGAACCTATTTTGAGTTGAAATTATAGTTCCACGTTATGAATCATCCAGGTAAGGTGAGGCAGGCTCAGCTTCGGGAATTTGTCCCTCTTCTCCCTGGAGCACTAGATATGCGCACGCTTCCATCACTCATCGGCGTCTGCTGACAGAGCATCCACTTTGCAATCTGAATCCGAGATGTGCATGTCTCGGACTCAGAGATTACACCAACCTCCTAAGCAATTAATCAACCCAAAATCATCAGTAGAAAAAGAGGGAAAAGATAGCAAAGAAAAGGAATTGAATGGAGGAAATCATTTTAATCTCATTAGCAAATTATGCCTTAGAACAGTAATAAGTCAAGAAGCCATGAGCATCTCATGAAAGATGATTAACCTTGTGTATTTTAGGGGTCACTGAAATATGAGCTCATTTATTAGTCCTTCTCCATGGGGGAGGGCTGTTGCCATAATACCTGGAGATTTTTTTTTCCTTAAGCTGGTAGTTAGTAAAGTCCCGGGGACTGCTAAGTGTAATGTATGCAAAGAGTGGTTAATGTATGACCTTGGGGCTGTCTTCTGAGCAAACAGTTCCTTTTCATGGAACAAGAAGCGGGGATTGGCCCTAACCTGAGGAGCCAGCATCTAGCAAAACAGAAAATGCAAGCTCCTCCTAGAGGCAGGATTTCCTCTGACCTGCTGGGCTCTGCATACACAGACTTCTAGGGAAGGGGCGTGGTTTATAGACTATAGCTTCTTGTATTTAGATCTAGATTTTTGAAGAAAGTAGAATTTGAATATAATAGCAGAAGGAAGATGGGTCTTTAAATGAAACAAATTTATATCATGGAAAGCTTGATTAACTCCTTGGGGAATCGGTATGCTGGTTCCCAAGTGTTAAGAAGAAAACCTTCTTTTTCCCTGCCCCTGCCCCTTTGAAATATTTCTAAAATGTTTTCCTTTGAACTGCAGCCTAAGTCAGTTTCAGTTCAGTGAAGGCAATTGCACCTTTACACTGATGGTGAATCTGATCTTGCCTTCAATGTCATCACTCTGGACAGCTGGCCGTGTTTTGTCCTAAAATATGTGTGTCCATAATATGGTGACATGGTGTGTGTGTGTGTGAGTGTGTGTGTGAAAGGAGGGGCAGAGAGGTAGACAGATAAATAATATTAGGCTGAATCTACAAATCCTTGATTGACCTAAGAATATACTCCAAGAATTGCTTAAAACAGCTGCACAGTGAATCCATAGGATAGTATCACTTTGTTGACAAATTGACTTTACTTCTTTAGGATTTTCAACACATCCATGTTTTGTCACAGTTGGGAAAACAGGATGGCAGAATGGAAGGGATATACCCATTCTTTCAGATCTCACAGACCTAAACCCAAAGTTTGATTCTGCCATTTTTCCACCACTCTGACCTTAAACAAGAAGTTAGTCTTCCTGAGTCTAAATTTGTTCATCTGAAAATTGGTAAGATAAAGTATGCCTGTGTTGTTTGGATTGAAGATAATATATGTAGATAATACATGTCCTGCACAAAGAATTATTTAATTCCTGATTGCTGTGATTATTTTTAGCTTTGTTTATAAAGAAAAAATCTGACTTGGACAAGGCAGCTAATGCTGTCTTCTCTCCAAATTTCCCAAGAGAATGTGGTTATCAGGCAGTCCAGTTTGGGATAGCAGTGGTCATCTAGGCATTAGGGCCAGGCAATATGTGAATATGCCAGGTTTGGGGATTCTGGAACCAAACCCGCTCATGTTTCATCCAGTGGAGTCTTTGTCAAAAATCACACTCGATGAAGCATTCTGAACAAAAGCAGGTGGTTAGGAACATGGGAAGTCCTGGCTGGTGACAGAGAGCTAGCTGGTGCAAGCAAGAATAGCAGGAAGATTAGATTCATCTCTGTTTGATGGCTTCTAGCGAGCTTTATAGAAGGAAAAAACAGAGAGAGAGAGAGAGAGAGAGAGAGAGAGACTTCCAGTGCAGCCCATTTAATTCCAATCAAACTTTGTGTTTCCATACCCAAATCCATGATGCTGAAGCCAGCTCCCTTCTGGTGACACATCTGGTCTAACAGCTGGACAGCCAAGGAATTTGATGAGTGAGGGGGCTGACAAAACCTAGGGTGCAGTCCTCAGCTGCCTCATTTGCTTGTTTACTATCCTGTGGAACATCTGGACTTACACAACACGAGCAACTTCTTTAAATGCTGTCACCTTCTAGCACTCCAGCTGCCCTCCTGTGGAGAAAGAGGGTGGACCAGGCTAAGGGACCTAGCAGGCCCCCAGGGAACCATTTTTTTGGGAAATTGCAGAATTAGTGTCAGCAAATAGTGCATATACTGCTGTGATCTTTGAATGGCGAGGAGCGGGGAGAGGTATGTTTTCAGAGGTACGAGTCCAGCAGCTCTGGGCTACAAAGCCAATGTGCTTGGCAGCAGAGAGAGCAAGCCAGGGAGCAGGGGCAGAGGTAGGATGTTTAACACCATTCCACGGAGTTTTGCAAGTTTTATTTGGATTTGGGCTTGGCAAAGTGACTTTGTCAATTGACAGTCTGTGTATAGCTCAGTCTTAAAAGCCCAACCTTTGTAGTCCTATCCAGACAGACTCCCAGCTTTGCCTTCCTCCCTCTACCATTCTAGCTGCTTGAGCCTGACAGGTTATTTGCCTGCACCCAGAAAGGGCCAGCTGCAATACAAGCGTGTAGCATCTGTTACACAGGGAGAAGGAGGATGGGAAAAAAAGTCACTGCCTTCTAATGGGAGTCCTGGGCAGAGAAGAGTTCTCAAATTACCTGGCAATGTTAATAGTTTCCTTATCTTTAAATAGGGAGAATACAGGGTGTTGTGAGATAAAATGCCTGAAGCCCCTAGCACAGTGGCCGGTTCCTGCAAGTGTCTGGGTTGGAGACTTTTGGAACAGCCACATCAGCACTCCAGACAGCCTGCCAGGGTTCAAGTGTGGACCTATCACGAGCAGCTGTGTGGCTTTCGGAAGGGTAAATGCTCTGCACCTCAGTTTCTCCGTGCATCAAATGGGGTTGCTTGTATTACTAACCCATGGGGCTGCTGTGAGGTGAGTTAGACCACTGCCTGGTGGAGAACAGGTGCTGGGAGGTGCTGCTATTGCTCACCAAGTTCTAGACTCTTCCCCAGATTCTGACATCTCTCCTTTGATTTCCTCCTTTGTTGTTATTTTTGTGGAGTTATTGGGACAAAGTAGTGCAGAGAAGCTAAAAATTTCCCAGGAAGGGTATCTGGCCTGCACTCAAGCTCAGCACCCATGGGTTCTCAGAGAGGTACTCTAGCCTGTTTTTCAAAGGGCACCCTGGAGGCAGGAGTGTGATGAGTACAGCTGCTGTCCCAGGGAAGACAGTGAAACCCGTCTCCAAAGTCATAGGGCAAAGCCACTTCCTCCTTTAGGTTGGAAGCCTCAGCTCAGCCCATTCCCTCCAATACTGGTGACTGGTACCAACCTTTACAAAGTGCTTTCATCACTGAAAATGTCCACTCAATATCAAGTCCAAATAGCAGCATTCCTTTCCCCTAACCCAAAGACATCTCTGCTAATGCATTTTAGTTCTGACCAATCGCTTGCACTCTGCCAAACGGAAGCCACCACATCTCAGCTCTGCCGGGCTACAGTGCACCCTTCCAGCCTGTTTGGAGGAAGCAGCCCTAATGCAAATGTGTATGATCTGTGCCCAGACAGAAGAAGCAATTTGTCAGAAAAGGTCATTCACTTTTAAAGGGAGTGTAGGGCAGAGGGCAATTCGTGGATTACTTGCCAGTGTTAATAGTTTCAAGACGAAGTACTAAAAATAAATGTCGGGGTCATACGCTGGTTCTCAGAGGACCCAGGCCCCTGATTCACCCACCTGTGTGGATGCTTTCTGGTTATGCCAGTGCCCGTCTGGACTCAGTCCCATGAAGGACAGCTCTGGCTGCTACGACCGGCACGTCGGCGTGGACTGCTCAGACGGCTTCAACGGTGGCTGCGAGCAGCTGTGTCTCCAGCAGACGGCGCCCTTCCCGGATGACCCCGCCTTGTACAACATCCTCATGTTCTGCGGGTGAGTTGAGCGGTCGCGAGGCTGGCTGAGATGTGAGGCTCTGGGTGCTAAAACCTGGGAAGTCCGTTTAAAAGAGCTGGTCACCCTAAGTCCAGCCCTGAAGCAGGGGAAGAGGAGCCTTAGGGAGAGTCAAGTCCAACCCCTGTGAAGGAGGAAGCCCAACTTAGGGATTTACCTGTGAGGGAAAATTGATCACCCGGTTTGCTTAAATCTTTGCCTAATTAAACCAGAATGTTCCTGGCTACGTTTTGTGGGGGCTATGTTAATTAGGTGTTCGTGACAAAAAGCATTCCATGGTCTAAAACTTGAGAGAGATCATGTAACACTATCAAGTATCAGAGAAAGAAGGGGTGTCTTTGAGTTCTGGAAGCTTTGCCAAATTCTGCCTCCAAGGTCCCAGTGTCCAGGGCAGCCGATTGTCCTCAGGTGAAGGCTGTGCCTGCAGGGCCCTGGGGGCGGACTGGCCTCTGTTCTCAGGTAACTCTGACAGGGAGCCAGGCAGGCGAGGCCACCCCAGATGACCCACGACAAAGCTGCTGCCCAGCGAGGTTCGGGGACCCCCTCAAGGCTCGAGAGTTGCCAAATGGGAAGATTAGAATCAGAATTTCGGCCCTCTCTGATTTCTTTTTAAAACGTTTGCATTTTCCCCCAAATTTAAATTTATATCACTGAGTGGAATTATATTTAAAGACATTTTCATGCTATATTTGTAATAAAGATTTATCCTGTTCTGCTGTGCTCATACTTTGCTTTCCTGTCCTTCTCCCCTGCTGCCCCCCTTGTGCCCTCTCTCCATCTCCTCCTTCCTCCCGAGAGTCCGGCAGGCGAGGGCTTGCTCTGTGCCACATGCCTTCCTGGCCACTGGGCTGCAGCGAGGAGGAGCATGTAGCTCTGGCCCACGTATCCCACCATCCAATAGGCTTGCAAGGAAAATCAGCGTCTGTAGTAATAAAACTGTGCTAGATTGTTGCTGAAAGCCAGGGGCTGCTGAGTAATCATGAAAAGGTTGTTCAGTGGAGCTGTAATGTTATTTTTATTGTATTTTAAAATTTTATTTCTATGCAATTGAATGATTTTCATATTCAGTTTCTTGTAAAATCCCATTCCATAAATAGAAGGTTGCTCTAAATTTTAATGTTTTCTGTAATGTTATCATTAGGGTTGGCCCACTTCAATTAATAGAACTAAATTCACCCAAAGTTATATCCATTTAAAAATTATATACATCATATGTATGCATATATATTATACATATATATGTATATTAGACAGCCATTTGTGCAGAGAACTTTGTTAGGTGAGAGAGAGGAGAAACAACAAGCTATCAGACCTGGTTCCCCCTCTCAGAGGAGTTTACAGTGGGGCACACACCTAGGGGAAAGGGGGAGATGAGCTGATGTGGAAGGGGAAGGTGTCAAGATGTATAAGATGGACTGATGACCAGCCAGCTTCGGAATCCTTCCTAGAAACACTGTTTATGTTTCAGGGCAGGAATCGCTTCACCACCTTGTCCTAGAACTGGGCAGGAGCCACGAGCCATGGGGCCCTCTGTGGGTCTTGAGTCCCATCTGCTCCCTGGGCTGAGGCAGTCGGCCCCTAACTGGACTTTCTCTCTCATTTCTATCAGGCTTAGGTACACGTGTGCTTGGAGCTCTCTAAGGCACTATATGCATAGCCTGCCTGGTTTGAGGTTCTCACATAAAGGCCAAGTCACATGCACTTGTAATTTAAAAGCTCTAGTCACACCTTGTTCACACAAATATATAAATGGGAAATGGGCAGAACTGGCAGTTTGTACCAACAGGGGCCTCATTTGCACCTGTGCTATTAATAATAGCAACATTTAATGAGTACTAGCTATTTATAATATATGTATATATACGTAAGCTATAACCATATATAAGAGACTGCCTCAGTTCTTCATGTTAAGTGTGTTAATTTTAACAACCCAGTGAAACAGTCACTTTCTCCCCCTTTTACAGTTTTGGAAACTGAAGTTCAGGGAGGTTAATCACCTGTCCCAAGATCACCCAGGAAAGGAGAGAGTCATTGCTATTCCAATATTTTTTCTCAGTACTTGAAACTATGATCATTTGTTCCCCTATGTAGAACAAAAGCCTTTATCTTATTATGACAATTATGGTGTAGAGGAATAAATGATGTGCTTTAATAGCATGAGCATCTTTAAATTCTAAGTGCTATATTTCTAAAGAGAGAAGCAAATTAAATCAATATTCTTTTTCAAGGACAATGTTATCAAGTAGTTCCTACTTGAGCAAACAAATGTATGTTCTTCCTAATATAACTACAAATAAGTTCTCATAAATGACTTGTGAGTCATTGGCCCACGTTTACCAAATTAGCATCGCCTTTCCATTAGAGTAAATGTACGTGTCCATGGGGAGGACATGAGGAGGCCGCTTCCGGTTAATGGCGTGCATGGTGCTGACACCATGTGCCCCAGCAGGTATTTAGTTCAGGACGGCTACTCTGAATGAAGGGGGAGTTGGTATGGGTTGATCTTGTGTTTGGATACATTCAAACAATGCAGCTGGGAGATCATAAATCTTCCCAATTTCTTAGTTGACTTGTCACAGGACCACATTAGAAAGTTATTAATATCTTCAGCACAGTGTCATTCCCTTTCCTGCCTGATTACGTTTTCAACAAATGTAAGACCTAGCCACATAAATGGTTCTCCAGAAAGACTCTCATACATCTTGAGTTTAAATGTGTCGACTCATTTACAAACATACCCAGTGATTCTTACTCTGACCTATGTAAGAAATCCTCTAATAAGAGGAGAGAGACTACTAAAGTTTTGAAAGACTTATTTTCAAGGGAAAGGTAAGAAATTTGGTATGATCATGTGATAGATGGAGTCTCAGTCTACAGGCTTAAGAACCTAATTTATAAAGAGATCAAAATCAAATCAAAGTATTCCTACTCTCGGCCATCCAGCACTCTCTCAAAGGCAGTTCTTCCCAGTTTTCGGAGCTGACTTGCCTGCACAGCTCATTGATGGAGTAATTTCTTATCTTGAGTTCTCCACCACATTAGGTGCATTGAGGATTACAAGCTTGGTGTGGATGGACGTTCCTGCCAACTCGTCACAGAGACCTGCCCCGAGGGAGGCGATTGTGGGGAGAGCAGGGAGCTTCCCATGAACCAGACTCTCTTTGGGGAGATGTTCTTCGGTTACAACAACCAGTCCAAGGAAGTGGCCCCTGGACAGGTGCTGAGAGGAACATACAGGTGAGCCTCATGTGCATAGAACAGATTATTCGGGACATTGGCAGATCTTCTCTGAAGAGCTTTACACTCAGTGTGAAGTGTTATGTCTTAGAGGAGCGTAAATGAAGTGTGCATAAAGGACAGGTTACTTTCTCACCTACAGTCTTCTCTGAGTCTACGCTCTTCCATCCAGAACCCAAGCGCCATGCTTCCTCTGGGTGAGCAGTAAAGTATTAATGAGATTCTGGTCTTGCTCAGAGACAAGATTTTGCACAGAAAGCCTAAGTTCCATTTCCCTTGGAATGGGGGAGTTGGTGTTTGAGCCAGTCTAGGATGGCAATCCTCAGGTTGGGATCCAAGGGCCTCTCAGGTCCCAAATCCTGGCAGAGAATCCTCAAGCTTCTGCCTGTTTCTGCCTATGGAAAGGCTGGATTTTTTTCCCACATTGCAACATAAATGGTACTTTGCAATGAACTGGACTCAGCTGTGAGAGTACAGTTGCTTTTTATTAAATCATAACTTTCAAAATTTGTAAAAAATATAAAATAATGCTACTCTTATTTTTCATCACATATGCTTATACTGAATGAATTTATTGTTACTTTTGAATGATTTTTTAAAATTTCCATTTTAATGTGGTATTGATAGATATAACTCAGGCCTTATTATAGACATCATAGAACTGCTTGGGCCTTCAATTATTAAGAGCATGAAGAAGTACAACAGGTTTCATGCCATTTATTTAGCCCATTTCTAGTAGATTCTGCATTTGACCCCTGTCCATATTCTACCTTGGGCTACTTGAATACATCTTCCTCAGAACCCATGGAGAAAGGCTTTCTAGAAGATGATGCTAATGCTTATGCCGATGATATCAGTGCTGTGATATGGATATAACAGCAGTTGATAGCAATCTGGGCCTAAATTCTCAAGAACAAACTGATAATAAATTCCCAAGAGAGTTCTTGCAGTCACATCCTCTGTCTGTTACACACAGGAAGCTTTACAAATATTTCCCCTTGTAGTGTGGGAACCAGTTTGCCAAAGACAGGAAGTATGTGTTGTAGCTAATCTTGTGGTGACGAGAGTCTACACTGTAGTTCAAATGAGACTGTGTCCAGCACTCATTGAAAGGTGGCCAGGGATGGGAGGGATAGAAGGACATCCTCACCCCTTTCAGTGGACTTATCAGCTGTTTTGCTTCTCTTCTCCCCCAGCCCTCTCCCTGCCTCCCTTACTCATGTGTCTTATTCTTGACATGTATGTTAAATGGGGCTGAGGGCGAGGGGAGCTATGTGGTCCAGAGTGAATTTTCCCATTACATGTTGAAATACAGATTGCCCACCAAGGAGTGGGGAGTACATGGACACTCAGGAACAGAGGTTTCTCCTGTCTCTAGGCAAAACAACTTTGCCCGTGGCTTAGACCAGCAGCTGCCAGATGGTCTTGTGGTGGCCACGGTCCCCCTGGAGAATCAGTGCCTGGAAGAAATCTCGGAGCCCACCCCAGACCCCGACTTCCTCACTGGTGAGTGTGCCTTCCCTTGCCCACAGGAACAGGCAACTCTGTATGGTTTCATAAAATCAAAACTCTTGACCTTGCTTTCTTTGTTTGCTGAACCAGTGATTTCTTTGATACATGATAAATGTTCAGTTATAAAACTGAACATTATCAGGTTTACTTGTCAGTAGAATTGTCGATATTGTCGTATAATTCCCTGCAGAATGGTGGTAATAATGTGTTTCCTTGCTAGTTTCACAGAGCTGCTTCAAAAACAAAGAGATAATAGATGTGTAAGAGTGCAGAGTTTTTGTTGGGGTTAGAGGAGGTAACCAGGTCATAGTGGCAGACAGACTGAGACGGTCCCCTCAGTATCCATGATGGCTTGCTTGGGAAGAATTAACAGAGCCATGTGAGGGAAGAGAAGACAGTAAAGTTTTTTTGAGGTTCCATGTCACTAATAAACTACTTGGCCTCTGTTTAATGATCCACCAGGACATCTCTCTCACATTTTATAACTCCAGTTGCCAAGCTAAAGGAGCACCCACAGAAACTCTAGATGCTATCTGAAGCTTTCCAGGAGGAGTGAGTGGATAGATGTGAGAAACATCAGAAGAACACGTTCGAATTTCTATCTTTGGGAATAAAGATAAGATCCAAAGCTGGTCCTCATCCAAAACAGAAACTTCTTTCTCCCCTGTGCCCTGATATCTCTCCTGATGTGACTTATTGGAGAAAGCAACAAAACAAAAAGAAAAAGTAGAAGGATAACCAGATGAGAACTTTTATTTTTAATGGACTTAGGCAGTGAAGTATAAAATTCCTACAGGTGCAGAGGAAACTTCCTGACTAGGCTGCTTTTCTACCCAGCCTTTGTATTTAACCTATTTTGAAGAAGTGCTACCAGTTGGGTGAAGAGTACTGTATATATTTCCTTTGATGTAAGCAAGGAGTAAAGCTTATTTTTACAGCCCAGAATGACTAGAGAGATTCACTGAAGGGATGGTTGACAAAATTTCTTCCACATTATCCCCCTAATTTGGGCACCATTTTGACTGTAACTTTCTGAGAGATAGAGTGAATCTTGTATCATGTCACAGTCTGTATTATTATAGGTTACAATTCTTCTAACCCTACAAGCTTAGAGAATTTGAGAGTTAAAGTGATCTTCAGAATCTTCTATATCAGCATTTCCAAGCATGGTTTATGTTTTGTTTTTCATAATAAACCAGAGTTCCATTCTAAATGAGTTCTCTTCAAATCAGCAATTTGTATCGCCTTAGCTTTAGGAAGAAATCTGAGAAGCCTGTAGGAAAGAAATCCCTTTCACTTTATTTAGCCCTGCAATTCTCAAACCTATTTAACAAGAGAATCCTTTTGAAACATAGCATCTATTTCCATCTGGCAGAATTATTAGTTAAAGAACACACTGGAAAATACTGATTTAAAGTGTGTCTTCCCTTGCTTCAGCCACATAATAGTTGAGAACTCTGAGCTTCTCAGGCCTCTTTGTTGTTGCAGGTTGTATGAAAATAAACAAAAGCCAACAAAATGAGGACAGGGAAAGGCTATTTATTGTGAGCTGGCTATAGCAAGGGACACAGTCGTCATCACTTATGATTTGGCAAGGAATCAAAGGCAGGCGGAGGGGTGGGAAAGCTTCATTTGGAAATCAGAGGTTTCAGGTGTGGTTGGGACGCTGTTGGCAGGAGGAAGCTGGAGTGGGTATCCTATGCCATTGACCAGGAATACATATTTGGCTTTCTCTGCTTGGACCTAGAAAGTGAGAACAAAAATTAGAGAAACTGTCAGTTATTAATAAAGGCCTAGTTATTTGGATTCAGTTGTTACAATGGCTACTGTTTGGCTTCAGCTCTGTTTTCTAGGAGTAGTGGTCTGACTTCCTGGAATGCTGACTGGGGTACTCTGGGTAGTATCCTGAGCTGGTGGCTATGGATCGGCTCGTAGGTCAGAGTTGTGCTTTTATATATGTCTTGCTTTGTCCATTTGTATATTCAGTCTTCCATTTGATAAAATCAAGGCAGTCCAGTGATTGACTAAGGAGGTAGACGAGGCTGCTGGCCACACTCTCAGGTCTGTTTGGTGCTATAGGCACCAAAGAGGATTGAAGATTAGAGCCCCTGAGCTCTTTGAAACTTCTCAAGTCCATTCAAAGGAAGCCCATTCTTGCCTTTCGAGCTCCAGGGTTAGATATACCTCAGGCGTTACACATCAAACAACACAAGAAAAGTAGTTCTCTTTTCTTCTTTATTTCCTTTCCCTCCCTCCCTCTCTCCTTTTTTTTCTTCTCTCCCTCCTTTCCTTGAAGATTGCAGAGATCTGTGCAGTAATTCTTTTCTCAAACATAGATAGAAAAAGAAATAATGCTCTTTCTCAAGAAAACATAGTCTGTGATATTTTGTTTGAAAAAAATAGAGAACTATTTGGCAGGAATGTGTCTCAAAATGATAATAAAAAATAAAATAAAATGAAAACTGAACCTGACTGTAAGTCAAGGGCATACGGAGAATCATATGACTCAGCTAGAAAATGTATACTCTAAACTATCCCTTTTTGAACTAATGGAAATGTTATCTGCAAGTAGGCACAGAAAAAACATTTCCCAAGCATTAACAGTTACATAACCGTTGCCCTGACTATAGTGTAATCTAAGTGCATCCAGCAGAATTGTTGTTTAGCAGCTAAGTAATGGAGTTCAGTTGTTCGGCTCACCCTAAGTAGATATGAGGCACTGTCATTCTTACCCCCATGCCTGTTCTTTTATTTTTTCTTCTCTCTGCTCTGGACTGAAGCCTAGGAAGTTATAACAAAAACATCAGTTAAGAGATGTGAAGTTTGCACAGTTACGCATGATAAGAGCGTGCTGAGGAGGAGAAGCAGGAGGAGGTGGATGACCACATCGAGGCCATGCATGTGCAGAATGCTTTATTTTTTTCTCAGATCATGTTTATGTCTTTAATTTTATTCTGTTCTCCCTACCTGTAAAGTAAGTAGAATGAATACCATCCCTCCCTTTCAGATATGAAAATTGAAACAAATGAGTTGCCTAGCCCAAAGTCATATAGCTGGTGGGAATCACGGCTTTGAAAAGGAGACAAGGCATCATCTCAGAGAAGTGGTTCACTTTATAGATGAAAACAATTGGGAATCAAAAACGAATCCACCTTGAGACCATCATGTTAGATGAAATAAATCAGACACACAAGCTTAAATACTACACGGTTTCCTCTTCTATGAGAAACCCAAATTATAAAGAGCAAAATAAAAGACAGATAATGGGAAGCGGGGAGAAGGATCTTTCACAAGTGCGAAGGAGATCAAAAGACAGAGGGAGGGAGGCCGGGGATTTAGCTCAGTGGTTCCGCCGCCTGCACAAGTGCAAGGACCAGAGTTCGATCCCTGGTACCAAAAAAAAAAAAAAAGAAAGAAAGGAAAGAGAGAGAGAGAGAAAGAAAGAAAGAAAGAATGAATTGAGGGAGTGGGGAAAAGAGGGGAGGGAAAGGTGATGCAAAAAGGAATTAAGATGTGTTATGTAAGTGTACCAACTCCACACAAGGAAAGTAAACATTATGTACAGCAGACATGTACTTATATATATATAAAAAATAAAACTATATTCCCTAGCCACATAGCCAGTGAGAAGATACTTGGGCTGTGAGAACAAAAGGTTATGTGTATCAGAGTGACTCTAACCTGAAACTGCCTTCTGGGGCAACACAGCTGGTCTGGGACTCTGGCCTCTTGTTTCTGCCCTATTTCTTTTTCCAATGAAACAATTCAGTTAAAAGGAACTTTCAAAGTTGAAAATATTTATTTATTAGACTCACTATATTGAAATAACAAAGCTGCTGATGTGCTAACATGATTTGAGAGCAGTTCTGCATATCATACACGTTTGACATGCTAATGACATGCACCTTTAAGGTATATGACTGAAGTTTTGAGCTTGCTAAGTTAGAATTTCATACATATGCTTTTGAAGTTAACGTACAGGTTAAAAGCCAAGGTGTGTGGTGGTATGACTGTCACCACAAACTTAATGCTTTGAAAGAGAAATATTTGAAGGAAAAGAAAGTATCGAAAACCTTCTCTTAGTTTTTGGTACCTTGTCTTTGATTACCTAAGATAAAATTTAAGCAGTTGACTCATTAAGCACCTTTCTTGACCTTTTTTCTTTTTCTTTACCAATAATTATTCCCATATGATTCACACAGAAATGGAAATTTGGTAATTACTCACCTAATTTGATCAGAGTTGACAAGTGCCTAATTAATCCTGCCTACTCCACATTCAATTTAGGTATTAAATTAGTTGATTTCGCTTAAAGGAAGCTTGGGTCAAAATGGCAGAATAATTCACCATGTATGTATAATTTTATATATAGCTATAGTTGCCATTGTATTTGTACACATACACACTATATGTTGTATGTTATATCTATAAACCTACTACATATAGCCATTGTATTTGTGTATATATATACATTAACAAATATATATATACACACACACACACCCAAATAAATTACACATACAGCAAATATTAGGCCTAGAAATGAAGCTAAAATTGTTTTCCTAAATTTAGCAAGACAATTTTTAAATTTCCTATGGCCTAATTGTTTTGTTTCTACAGCATTTTCTATTTTAGTAGTGGCTAGAATTCAAACAGGGTGACACTTTTTCTCCAGAACTCTCGAGGAAGAGCCGCCCATTAATAACATCTGTAAAAAGACTCCTGGGCGTGTTTATTGGGAGTCGCCTGGACAACTACTTTAGATTCTCAGAGCCCCAGTTTTCCCGTCAGGAAAAGGGACACCACAAGTCCCTGTCACGTTGCCTGGAAGAGATGACACTTGATATTTGGCCAACCCTGCCTTCTGAAATAATTCAGTCACCTTGACACTGTCCCTTCTGGTAAAGAAGAAATAAGCTTTATCAGCTTCAGAGTAATTAAAACTTAACTACCAAACACAAATCAGTTAAATGAGACAGAAAAATCAATGTTATCAGATACGTGAGCTGAGTCAATTCTGCAGCTATTCAAGAGAGTAAAAATCTGTGTTACAGTAAGCCTGGAGCTTAATATAAATTTATTATGAGGACATTATAGTAGCATGAGTAAGAACTGGCCCTGGGCTCAGACACATCTGGAACCTCATCCTGGGCTACCTCGTTTTTTAGGGACCTTATATATAAACACCCTCTCTGAGCCACAGAATCCTCATTTATAAAATGTAAATAATAACAATGCTCTCACAAGGAGCAGAAAGTTCAATATATGCAAAGCACTTAGCAAAATGCCAGGCACAGAGTAAATGTTCAGTTAATGATAGCTATTGTTACTATGATTCTAGAAATTTTCTTCATTAAAGAACACTTCATCATTTTCGCACAATTATAATCCTTAGCCTGATTGAGTTTGGTTATGTTTTTTGACTTGGGCATCATGAATCAATCTTGAGCGCTGACCCTGTATCTCCTCTCTCCCCAGGGATGGTGAACTTCAGTGAAGTGTCTGGTTACCCCGTACTGCAGCACTGGAAGGTGCAGTCTGTGATGTACCACATCAAACTCAGCCAGGCAGCTGTCTCTCAGGGTGAGCACTGAGGCATGAACCCCCCACCCCTGCTGAGGACTTGGAAGTCCTCCCAGGGGAAAGGCCTTTGGTCCCAGTGTTGAAGACATGGGATTCAGGACCTTACTCAGATTCACTCTTAAGGAAAATGGCACTGAAGAATAGGATCCTTTTCTATGTACAGATTAAATGGCAAGTATTAACTTGAACAGTAGAAGAGACAGAATGGGCAAGGCTGGAACCAATAACATCTGTAAAAGGCTCCAGGAGGTGTTTATTGAGAGATGCCTGGACAACTAATTTAGCTTTATTCTGGGGTCACTCAGTGGAGGGGAGAATATTTCAAAAGCAGACTTTTCACAATTTGACAGAATAAAGCATTCCAAATGCAAAGAATATAACTTAGAGATTCCATATAATGGCATAAGGGAAAGATAGCAAGAAAGATAGTTGAAGGAAAAATTAAAAAAATAAGAGACAGCTTAAGTTTCTTAAACAGCAAGTAAGTGCAATAAATAGATAGGTTGAGATATAGAGTCATAGAAAATTACATCTCTAACTATATAGTAATATATCTGTATGGAAAACAGTAATAGTTACATAGTGATGTGTACACATATACACACAAAGAGAGAAATAAATATACGCATATTATTCCTAGCAAGTTAAGGAGTATTGAGTTCAAAACTTACTACGCAGAGTCTTGGGTCAGCAACCGGGAGGTGGAATCTTAGGGCCAACAGGAGAAAGATAAATGGAAGATGATAACCAGAGGGTTATGACCAGAAGTGAGACATATACACACACAGGGTGAATAGAGATATAATAGAGAATATATAGAGAATAATCCTTTTACTTTTGATTTTTTGAAATAAGATATAACCAATATATTAATGACTTGTCTTAACTTTTTTTCCCATTATCTTTCCATTGCCCATTTCTGTGTCTAAAAGCAGCATTTTGTAAACATTTTTGGCCATTACTCATTGTTAGAATACATTTTTATGTCATGACCTTGGGCATACACACACTCCCACATCCATACAACACATGTTTCATGAAACAGTATTTCAGTATTTCATCTTATGATGTGAAATATTCTCTGCTAGTATTTGTTTTCTATTTTAGACTATGCTATTCTCTTTCTTTGAAAACATGCTATTATTTGAACTGACTAAATTGATTTAATTTCATGACCTGTGGTTAGGGGTGGGGAAACATATTTACCTTAGGGGTGTGAGAGTGGAGATTTGGCAATGTTCTGCTTAATTTGCACAAAGTTAATACACAACCAATTGGCTTGAAAAGATTGGATTTGGTTAGATGGAAATATTCATCCAATTTCCTTAGCCTGATGTCCATCATCTCCATGAGTCATACACACACTTATGCCTGAATTGACTGGGAATCCATATACTCAAATTGTGCGTCTTCACTTTTACTCTTGGGTGACTTTCCTCCATAGCTTTCAGCAATGCTCTTCATTCCCTGGATGGGGCTACATCCCGTGCAGATTTTGTGGCCTTATTGGATCAGTTTGGCAATCATTACATCCAGGAAGCTATCTATGGCTTTGAAGAGTCCTGTTCTATCTGGTACCCAAACAAGCAAGTCCAGCGGCGACTCTGGATGGAATATGAAGATATCAGTAAAGGTGAGTAGCACGATCAGCCCCAAATTCTACACTCCATGCAGGAACAGCTGATCATGTACAATCCATATGATCGAGCTTAAGAAGTCCATATGGAAAGGTCTAGCTCACATTTTCCTTTAGTGCTGTGTGTCCATCTTTAAAATATCCAAGGTTTGGTTGCCAAAACCAAATCTCAAAATGAGGGAGTCGGAGGAATTTTAGATGCAAGATGGTGTCAAAACTATATGGCCAGTGTGTTAATTACCATGCAGAGAATGCACTCAAGGTTTTTACAGCTGCTATTCATTCAATTATTGCAGCAAAGCCAAAGTGTTAGACTGTTTTTTATGGATATGAGGGAAGGAAGAGAATGTTTTAGTCTCCTCTACAACTTCTTTCCTCCGCAACCCCAGCACATTGCACTGCAACCCCGCGTGGTAAACCCCACCTCATTTCACCCTGTCCTATCTCAGCTTTCTTGCAGATCTGCATTATAAGGAAGTTTCTTTTGGCCCATGTTTACATATCTCTGCATGACAGACTCACAAATAAATCCTTGTCCATCATATTAATAACAAATTAATTTTCAGTCCAAGTAAATATTAAGAAATTGAAATTTAAAATCGTCTGCATGCACTTTCTGGTACAGTAAGACTACTGGCCACTATATTTGTAGTCTCATCAACCATGGTTGCTTCACAGTTGTCATTCATGGAACTTCCCCTGAGGTTATATGCGTGGTATTCTGACAAGGCCAAATTACATAATGTGTGAGTTGCTAAGGGGCAAGAGATGAATTAGTACAATGAAATTTCAAGAAATGAATCATTTTGAGACTCAATATCAAAGGTTGATCTGAGACAAGAGACACTCTGCTGTCAGTTGTGCTTCTAAGAGGCACAGATGCCCCAGTGGCTAAGATGCTTTTGGTTCTGTGAGCCCCATGCAGTTTCCTGTTTTGCCTTGCTCAAGAGGTACCAAAGCATGATAGCCTCTCTCCTGGTTGATCCCTTTCTCCCAGGAGCAAAAGTTATGCTTCTAGGCTACAATTGCAGCAAGCATTTCCACCCAAGCCTGACTTTTCTAAATTCAAAGACATACTCACAGGCTTTTGGCATCCCTTAAAACTTTATAATCTTAACATTGTTCTGATTTCAGTTTGCCAAGAGAGCAATGTAATGTAAGTAAATGTCGATAAAACCAGTTTCCAATGGTGAAGCTTTCTGACATTCCATGCCAGAGCCTGTGGACTGAACTAAAACTCTGAATCTTCCACTATTTTTATTTGCCAGTGGTTCAGGGATTTCCAGGGCCTGGGACTTCTGGAGAAAGAAAGCCTTGCATTACTCAGAGTTCCTGGTTCTACACCTCAGTCTCTCGCAAACATTGCTATATCCCTAGGGTCAAGAAAAGTGGGGCATAGTGTCAAGGCCACGGACAAATTTTCTACCTGGGCTAAGTGTCAATGGTCTTGACATTAAACTTCATTTCCCTTGATCTCAAGCCTCTCTTGTCACTTGGGAGCTAGTTCTGCCACAATCCCACCACTGACTTGACTTCTTGGAGGGACATGATTCATATAACCCTTTGCTTGATATTGATCTTAAAAAGATACTGAAACATTGTAGTATGGTTATATCTGACTGATGAAAACCAAGAGATGGATGTCCATTGACCATATTTACCACTTCCTAGTTCTGACCCTTAGCTCCAAGTAATGAGGTTTGTCTCTCTTGTTATTTGGCTCAAAACAAAACGTTCTTTTAAATATTTTTCTTCTAGATACTAATTTTCTTTTTATTCTAAACCCTGGGTGAGGCATGCTACTGATTAAGAATGATAAGCTCTTAAGAAAAAGAAGGAAGTTCTGCTGTCCTGCACTCTGAGAGTTCTGGTTCAAAAGGGGACTTTGTACCCTTGGGTGATAAGTGTCCTGAGAGGGCTGTATCTGCCATGATGTGCAAGGGACACTTCTTCCAGAAGGAGTTCTTCAATTATATTTTCTTTCCAGCTATCACTTTACAATCCTTTTCACAAAAAAGATATTTATTTTTTACTATTCTTTACTTCTGTACCTATGACCAGTTACCTAAAATTGCTTAGAGATTGAGTAGGAAAAGAGATTTGTCATGGTGAAATGAAATGAAAAAGGCACAAGACTTAGAGGTTGGAAACCTAAAATAGGTCAAATGATTTTACTGTATTCAATTACCTAGACTTCATGTTATGCCCTCTGTCATCCCTCAGCTCTAATAGCTTACGGAGCCTTATTAATACCCTTTTAGATGAGAAACATTCTCAGGGCAGGCATTTGGGATAAATAGTACTTTCATCTGTCTTAGGCAGTTTTCTGTTGTGAAAAAACCTGAGATAACTGACTTTAAAAAAGGAAAGGTTTATTTTGGCTAATGGTTCTGAACATTTTAGTCCATGGTTGGTTGGCCCCAATGCTTTTGGGCCCCTGGCAAGGCAGGATATCTCTTCAGGTATCATATGGTAGAGAAAAGCTGCTCACTTCATGGTGGCTGGGAAGCAAAGAGAAAGACAAGACAGGGCTGGAGTCCAAGTATTGTCATGTCTTATATGGCTTGAAGACCCTTGGAGGGAGAAAGGTGGGAGATGAAGAAAAGACAGACAAAGAGATAAAAAGCAGAGGCCAGGTGGAGCCTTCTGCAAGGGCACATCCCAATGACTGGAAACCCTCCCGCTTGGCTTTACCTCATAAGGGTTCCACCACCTCCCCATGGCACCATGGGATGAGAACCAAGCCTTTAACTCATTAGCTTTTGGGGAATACTTTTCCAAACCACAGCATTTTCTTTCTACAATATCTCAAAATCCTCAAGGGTAAAGTCCATTTAAAGTCAACTTTAAATCCCCATAGCCTAACACAGAGACAGGCACATGGTAGGCACTCAGCAGTTATTTGTTGCTGTTGCACCTGTTGACAGTGATGGTGGTGTTAATGGTGGTAAAAGTCTTCTGAAGTGGTGACTTCTGTTTTGGTTTCGTTGTAGACATGTAGCATGCTTTAGTTATGCCTGACTGACAAAAACTCAGAGATGAATGTATTTGACCAGATCTCCAGAAGTCAGCCTTCCATTCCACAAGCGCTTATTTGTCATAACTGTGGTTCGGAGTTTAGTATCTCCAGTCCCTAGATAATCCCAATGGAAGACAGTGGAATATATATTTTTTCAGCCACTGAATTATTTCTTCCCCAAGATGCAATTGTGTCTTCTATAAAGTATTTCATCTTCTGAAAGATCATAGTCTCATAAACATGTAACCTTTTTAAACCACTATTTCCTGGTCCTACATTATCACAGAATTTCTTTTCATGTGATTTTTATTAGTGCATATTGGTAATACAGATTAATAGATTTCATTTTGGCATGCACATAATATACTTTGATCATTTTCACCTCCCATTACCTTCCTTGTCTTGCCTTTCCCCCTAGTTTTACATTTTTGGTGGGTTCCATTCATATAACGTATTTTGATCTATCCATCCCCAACCATTGAATTTCTTTAAAAAAATTTTATTTTTATTTGTACATGTTTGCAGCACATAATGATTACATTCATCCTGAGAAGTTGGTACATGTACAGAGCACCTCTTAATTCTTTTTACTTCCCTTTTCTCTTTCATCTATTCCCACCTCCATTTCTTGATCCCTTTCCTGTTTGCAAACTATCTGTCTTTCTGTTTCCTATTCCTTGTTTTTTTATTTTTCTCTTTAATTCATTTATACTTGGGATTTCTCTTCTGAAAGAAACCATGTGGTATTTAAACTTGTCCATCTGAAAACGTTATGGTCTCAAGTGCAACCATTTTTCTACAAATGACTCAGAAGAGTAGTTTATACATCTTTACTTCCTGAACTCCACTTCACTCTTCCAATTATTGCTTTCAACTACTTCTTTTCCAGAAACAGCACTAGAGAAGGAAATCAAGGGCCTCATCAGAGGGTCACTGTATCTATTCTGTGATCATTCTACCTTTCTTAACAGAATAATTAGTCCCTCTTGACCAGTCATCCCTCTTAAAAATTTCCTCTTCCTCTGATGTCTTTAATGCTATATTGTTCAGAATCTCTTCATAAGTATTTGGCCTTTATTTTTCATTCTTTTCTTTGGTCTTTGTTTCTCTAAAGAAGTGATTTACATTTATAAAAAGTGATTCAGAGCTTTCATTATTAATGTTTCTTCCTTCTTTACTGTTGTTGGGTACTTCCTTTCTATACCTACTTCAACCTGCACAACCAATGCTTTCCTTTCCTTCAGGACTCAAAGCGTCTTTGCCCTTGAGTGTTTAGGATTTTTACTTAGATATTCTATAGGCACCTTGATGATCAACATTTCCTTTCTCTCCCTTGTATCCACTAGTAGATTAGTAAACTCCATTGATGGGTCAAAATGTAAAAGGAAAAGTATTTCTTGATGCTCTTCTCCATCCTTCACATACAACCATATCAAAGTCTTGCCTTTTTAAATACCTAAATGATTCCTCAAGACATGTCCCCTCCTGTCCATTTCTTCAAGACTGTGAGTTTATAATATCAAGTGATTCAGATTGGGGAGAAAGGGAAAGGAGCAATAAAGGGGTTGGTCAATGAAATAGCGTCACAGTCAGGTAGGAGGAATAAATTCTGGTGTACTATGCTAGAGTAGAGTGAATATAATGAACAATAATGCATATCTTATCCCAAAATATCTAGAAGCAACAGTTTTAAACATATTTACCATGAAGAAATGATACAATTTAAGGTGATGGATATGCTAATTACCCTGATTTTATTATTATGCAATGTATACATGAATCAAAACACCACATTGTACTTCATAAATATGTACAGTTATTATATGCCAATTAAAAAAACAATTAAAATAGCTTCTTCATATATCTCCTCTGCTTCTGTTTCCTGTTACTCTATTCCATTCTACAATTCACCATCTGCTACCTTTTTAAAATGCAATTTAATGGCGTCACCCCTCAGCTTGAAGTCCTCACTAACTCC